TCTTTTGTTTTTGTTTGTACCTCAAAGGGTTCGAAGATACAGCGTTCTTCAGTTTCAGCCTAACTCTTTTATAGGGAACTTAGCCATTTTACAAGATATCGAGAAACGGCCAACGGCATTCGAAAGAGAATCGTTTGTATTCGTTTGTACCTCTTTTGTTTTCGTTTGTACCTCAAAGGGTTCGAAGATACAGCGTTCTTCAGTTTCAGCCTAACCCTTTTATAGGGAACTTAGCCATTTTACAAGATATCGAGAAACGGCCAACGGCATTTAAAAGAGAATCGTTTGTATCCGTTTGTACCTCTTTTGTTTTCATTTGTACCTCAAAGGGTTCGGAGATACAGCGTTTTTCAGTTTTAACATAAACAAGCGGTTATTAGTGCCTTCACGCTTAAAGTTAACTGCGTTTCAAATTTTTTTATAACACGTAATCAATTTCTTTGTGTGAAATCAACTTAAAATTAACTTAAAATAATATTTTGAATATTGATCGTTTACTTTAAATATTGTATTACGTTACTGTGTTATACTATAAATAAAGATGAATATAATAGTGGAATAATTTTAATTATTGATACACTTAGGATGAAAATACTTAGAAATTAATGAAAAATGTTTTATGTCTAGATTAACGAAACCTGTTAAATAAATTTTTGGACTTATAATATTTTTTAATGTTAACATTTTATGTACAAACGATTCTCTTTCGAATGCCGTTGGCCGTTTCTCGATATCTTGTAAAATGGCTAAGTTCCCTATACAAGGGTTAGGCTGAAACTGAAGAACGCTGTATCTTCAAACCCTTTGAGGTACAAACGAAAACAAAAGAGGTACAAACGGGTACAAACGATTCTCTTTCGAATGCCGTTGGCCGTTTCTCGATATCTTGTAAAATGGCTAAGTTCCCTATAAAAGGGTTAGGCTGAAACTGAAGAACGCTGTATCTTCGAACCCTTTGAGGTATAAACGAAAACAAAAGTGGTACAAACGAATACAAACGATTCTCTTTCGAATGCCGTTGGTCGTTTCTCGATATCTTGTAAAATGGCTAAGTTCCCTATAGAAGGGTTAGGCTGAAACTGAAAAACGCTGTATCTTCGAACCCTTTGAGGTACAAACAAAATCAAAAGAGGTACAAACGGGTACAAACGATTTCTCTTTTGAATGGCATAAACGAAATTTAAAAATCTTGTAATCGGGCGCTGGCCATTTTTTCACCCCCTTGTATTTTTTTACCCTTTGAGGTACAAACGAAATAAGAAGCGGTACAAACAGGTACAAACGAAGTACAAACGAACTAGATTAGTGATTTTTTTTTAAATAAAGTTGGGCGCCAAGTTCACATCGGTCTGAAACAAGTGATAGTCGGAAGGGGCACAGTCTGCTGAATAAGCTGTATGGTAGCACTTCCCAGCGAAGTACTTCCAATGTTTCCTTGACAGCCTTAGTGACGTGAAGTCAAGCGTTGTCATGAAGCAAGATCACTTTATGCTGTCTTGTCTCATATTCTGGTCGTTTTTCGCGCAATGCTCGGCTCAAACGAATTATTTGTTGTTGGTAGAGATCCCCTGTGACTGTTTGACCAGGTTTCAGTATCTCATAATATACCCTTCTGGTCCCACCAAATACAGAGCATAGCCTTCTTACCATGAATATTACGTTTTGGCGTCGATGTCGATGGTTGGCCTGGGTCGCAAATGGTTTTTCGGCGTTTGGGGTTATCGAAATAGATCCACTTTTCATCGCCAGTCACAATTCGATGCAAAAACCCCTTTCTTTTTTGCCTGGCAAGCAGCATTTCGGAGATGGTTTTTCGCCTTTCGATGTCTCTTTCTTTCAGTTCATATGGCATCCATTTTCCTTCCTTGTATGGCTTTTAAACGCTTGGAAATGGCTGCTTCAGTAACATCTAACGTTTTTGCAAATTGATTTTGTGTTTGACATGGATCTTCATCCACCAATGCTTGCAGTTCTGTATCTTCAAATTTTTTTTGCTGTCCTGGACGTTCTTTATCATTCGTGTCAAAATCACCAAGTTTGAATCGTCGAAACCATTCCTTGCAAGTTGTTTCCGATAGAGCAAGTTCCCTATAAGCTTCAACAAGCATTCGATGAGATTCAGCAGCAGTTTTCTTCAAATTGAAACAGAAAAGCAAAGCTTCGCGCAATAATGCTTATTTGGTTGAAATTCAGACATTTTCTTTCCAGTTAAAAAAACTAATGTTGTTTGTCACAAACACAAACTTTTATATATTGAATATTGTTGACAGATGTCAAAACTATAAATGATGCCTTGTTCAGCCATCAGCCATTACAGATTGTCAAAGTTACAGCTATTTATCGCTAGACGGCGGATTTCAAGTTATAGATCTAATATATACGACGCACTCTTGCAAAGATATCTATCTTAAACTTAGGGTCCAAAAAAATTTTTTTAAAATAATTTAGTATATTTTGTTTGATTTAATAACTTTACACTACTTACAATTAGTAGATTTTCATAATTTTTTAATCATTTTTATATTAATCGAAGATTAGAATAATGCGATACATTTTTGAATAGCATATCGAAAAACCTTGCCACAAACTAAGATTTTTTAACTTATAATCTCAGACAGCACGCATGTCTTAGATATCTGAAAGTTATCCAAAAGACGTCATCTTTTAGACATATTTACATATCTTTAAGACATGCGTGCTGTCTGGAATTATATAATTTTTAAATTATAACATATTTCAATTTTATATGTGAATTTTTTGTTGTCTTAAGGTAGTTGTCTCATAAAATTAATTTCTTACAAATTGATCCAAATTTTCACTATATTTTTATTAAAGTAACACCTAAGTGGTCTTGCAAGAAAAAAAGAATTTACCGTTCAGAAACTGAGATAATTGCAATTATAATTAGTACGTTTAACATGTATTGCATACACCATACTAAGGTTAACGTCATATTTTTAATTTTATCTTGAAAACTACATTTAAGACTTTAATGAAAAATAATGAGCATGCAGAAGACAGATATATGAACATTTAAAAAACACAGCATTATTGACCGTTTAATTTCAACAATATAATCGTAAGAAATATATGATTTTTGATATTTTTTGACGTATGAAAAAGTATATAGTTATATTTAAAAAAAATGAATAATTAATATAATTTGTTATTTTATTGATAGCAATAAATTTAAAAAATAGGATAAAATCAACTGGATTAAAATAAGTAATAAAAATAAATTATCAAATTTTTTCAGAAAGAAATTAAATAATTTTGTCTATTATTTTTTTTGTGTTTAGTGACACGTGGTTTATTGTTGCTTAACTTTTCTGTTAAAAGTTGTATGATCTCTTTTTCTTATTTTTCTTATAAATAGTCTTCAATTTCTCAAAATTAATGTTACTGCTTGCCGTACTGTCACGGGGCAATCTTTATCTTAAACTAAATAGAATTTTTTAATTTTAAATCGTTTCTTCAGATTAATTATGTTTTTCTCAAAATTGTTTGTTTTACTTAATTTGCAAAATTTTTTTACAAAAAATAATACAAATAGAGAAATCTAAAAAAATATTTTAAAATTAAAAAATCTAAGATTTTTTTATCCTACTCTTTTAAATCCTACTCTAAGATACCATATATCTAACAATAAGATATTATCAAATGAACCGGTAATTCAATGGTCTGGATGACTGGTTGGAGAAGAAAAAATTTTAATCTAAATTTATTTATTTATTAAGAGATATAATCTGATATTTTTATCTGATCTATTTCTGATTGCCAAATTAAGGAAGGCCCCGTTTGCCTACAAATTGATTGCCTATAGTATCGATTGCCGACATCTCGTTTGTCCACATTTCGTTAGCAGACAAAAATTATTGCCTACAGATCGATTGCCCACAAACTGTTTTGTGCACAACTAAAAAATTAAAGGCCGAACTCGTTTGCACACACGACATTATTGCGCACAAATCACATTGCACATAATATTATTGCCTACAGTACGATTGCCTACAAGCTCTATTGCGCATAAATAAAAATGAAGAGATGAACGTACGTTTGCACACAAAATTTATTGCTTACAGTACGATTGCCTACAAGCTCTATTGCGCACAAATAAAAAAATTAAGCAAGGTCTACCCCCATCACCCAGTGCTTTGGATGCAAAACTAGGTCTATAATTATACAGTTTTACATGGGTTTGCAACTTTCCGCACAAAGCAAGGTCTATCCCCATCGCCCGATGCTTTGGATGCAAAACTAGGTCTACGTGTATAATTATACGGTTCCACATGGGTTTGCAACTTTCCGCGCAAAGCAAAATCTACCTCCACCGCCCGGTGGAACCGTATAATTATAGACCTAGTTTTGCATCCAAAGCACCGGGCGATGAGAGTAGACCTTGCTTTGCGCGGAAAATTGCAAACCCATGTGAAACCGTATAATTATAATCCTAGTTTTGCATCCAAAGCACCGGGCGATGGGGGTAGACCTTGCTTAATTTTTTATTTATGCGCAATAGAGCTTGTAAGCAATCGTACTGTAGGCAATGATATTATATGTGCAATGTGACCTGTGCACAATAGTGTCGTGTGTGCAAACGTACGTTCGTCTCTTAATTTTTATTTGTGCGCAATGGAGCTTGTAGGCAATAATATTATGTGTGCAATGTGACTTGTGCGCAATAGTGTCGTATGTGCAAACGTACGTTTGTCTCTTATTTTTATTTGTGTACAATAGAGCTTGTAGGCAATCGTATTGTAGGCAATAAATTTTGTGTGCAAACGAAATGTGGACAAACGAGATGTCGGCAATTGATACTATAGGCAATCAATTTGTAGGCAAACGGGACCCTCCCCCAAATTATTGATCTTGTCGAGGTATCCTATACATACATGTAATTTAAAAAATTTATTTACATTTTTTTTTAGAAAAAATTGCTTTTCTTATAATTTTCTTTTCTTATAATTTTATTTTAATCAAATGTAAAAAATTAAATCAATGGAAAAAAATAAAAATCGGAATGCTTTCAATTTTATATATTGTTACATTTGATTAAATGCCGTTTATAATTTTGTTGAATGTTGTTACTAATACTATTTTCTAAATAGTTAGATGCAGAAGATGACGACGACGACGATTATGATTACAACGACGAAGACTTCGCGGAAGCAAGATTTGAAGAAGAAGGCGAAGCCTCCAATTGTTGGCAGCTGAAGAATTACACCTTCGAGGCTCGAAAGAATGTGCGAAACGATGACGAGCAGGGATATGACGATGAGACGGGATCTGCGAATCCTTGGCGGAAAACGGGCGGACTTCGTTTAACCAGGAACGAGTACCATCGATTTTGTGATGCTCAGTTAGAATGTAATTATTATGAATAATATTCGAATTTTCTTTCTTGTTATTTCATTTGTCATAATTGTCATATTACATTTTTTCTTCTCCAGTTATTTGTTTTAATTTTTTTCTCTAATATTCTTTTTAATATAATATTATATTGATTATATAATAATATTATATTTTGTAATACAAGTAAGATTCACATTACACACACGTACGCACGCACGCACGCATGTAAGCAAGCAAGCAAGCAAGCAAGCAAACAAGCAAACAAGCAAGCAAGCAAGCAAGCAAGCAAGCAAGCAAGCAAGCAAGCAAGCAAGCAAGCAAGCAAAATAAAATTGAAAGTTAAAATCAACTTTTGGTAAAAAACTGAATAAATACTATTTTTTTTATAATTCCTTAAAATTTAATAAATATAAAGTAAATATTCACGTTATACAATTTTCGTTTACAAATATTGATTGTTCTGCATGGATCTGTTGTTTGAAAGGATGAATAGTTTTCTGCAGTTTTGTTATGCCCTAAATTCAACTTTAAATTCAAAAAATGCGTGTTATCAAAATTTTTAGAAAATAAAAAAAAATATTTAAATATGTAAAAAATATATTTAACAAATGGTTTTTGTCATATTTATAATGTTATTTAAAACAAATTTTTGTTTAAATTTTATTTATGCTATCTTAAAATATTTTGTTATTTTAATTGTATTTTGTTTTCTTACAACTTTTTAAAATCGATATATTTATTTATAGTTAAAACATTTTTTTTTAATTTTTAAATAAAATTTTTTACGCAGATTCGATCCATTATTAATCTGATGAAAAAGTTATTTTCTTATTATTAATGTTATTATTAATGAGATCTTTTTTTATTAGTCTAAGAAAAAAACAAACATACTTTTTATTGGGTTCAATAACGTTTTATCTTAATCAAATTTAAATTATTTTTTTCGAAATAGTCCAATTCAAAAATCAGATTTAGATTGTTTTACTTTGCTTCTTATATGAAATCTTTCTTGATCGATTGCAGCTTACGATTTGGCAACGCAATGTCCTTCTCGAAGAGCATCTATGAAGAGGCATGCTGCAAAGTGTACTATACCATTAATGTCACTCACGGGAACGACATCTTTACCACAGTCAAGGCCACAAAGTCGGCAGCATGCCGGCCTAACGGAATCTATGTTGAGTCAAGATCCGAGTCCTAATATTAGTCTGAATCCCAGTCCAAGTCTTAGTCCTCAGCCACGAGCTCCGAGGCAACCGCGGCGAGCGCACACGATCGCACATGAGGATAAAGCTCAAAGTGAAGAATGGGAAGATAACACTGATAAGGTAAGAAATACAGATATATCATTCTTATTTGTTTAAGAATAAATTAATTTAGAATACAACTACTAATTTTTAAATATACAGTCAAGAGCATTGAAAGCTATCCGCTCCAGTACTTCCACCACTTTCCAAAAGCATTTACATTCTTTATTTTTTCACTTTTTCTTGGATGGAGATTAGTAGATAGAGGGGAGAGGAAGCAATATCCATCTAACATCTAAGAAAAAATGGAAAAATAAAGAATATAAATGCTTTTGGAAAGTGGTGACGATACTCGAGTGGATAGCTTTTAATCCTCCTGATTGTACAGTGACAAGCAATGAAAGTTAACCACTGGGGTACACCTATCACTTTCCAAGCCGTCCCCTTTTACCTACTTCTTTAGGACCTTCTCCTATTCTCAGAAACGTGTTCACACGTGGCGTTCCAGTTTTCATTGCTGAACAGCTGTAACAGCAAGTCTTAATGTTTTAACCATTAACACACTTTGTTATCAAAGATGATTTTTATCAAATAACAATAAAATTTACGTAAAGATTATATATTTAAGATTTCTTAGAATGCTGAATCAAATTTGTAGCCGAGATTTTAAAATTTTAAATCATTAATTCAATAAGATGATCCGATAAGAATCCTGATGTCATTGTGTATTATATTGTTGCCTGTAGTATGTGTACATTTTTTGTTAAATTTTTGGAACACAATAAATTAAAACAAATTTCGGTCACATTCCTTTTACCCATATTGTACATTATATTTAAACTTTATAAATATTTTTTTATTACTTAATTTTTCTTAATGTGTAATTTAGAATTACTTATTTTATATACTTTTTACGATCTAAATGTTTCTTACAACCTAAGTGTTGCTTATAATTTTAGTACTTCTTATGATTTTCAAATATCTCTCCGATCTTTCTATCATGCATAATTTCAATTTATTCCAATTTTTTTATTGACAATATTATGAATTTGTGCAGAGAATGTAGAAAAATTATTGATAAGAAGGTGATAGTAACTTTGTGAATTGAGAATTAAACTTTAGAGTTAAGCATTATACTAGACATAAAAATATGGAAGAAGACTTATTCATGTGTAATCACATTTCACAGAAACTGACGCTAGGGGATATGTTATTGGATGAGAGGTTGTCGTTAACATTGGACGAAATCGTGCACATTCGTAGCGTACTTACGAAGGCCGAATTGGAGTCACTTCCTGTGGAAGGTCGCGTGAAAGAGGACGTGGAGAAAAGACGTGTCTGTTTCCTTTGTTTAAAAACACGTTTCGGTTTATTGGGTCCTTGGGGGCAACGTTGTCGTTTGTGCAAGAGGACTGTCTGCGTGAAGTGCTACTCGAAGGTATTAATTCTCACATATATTACGTACATAAAATCTAATTAAAAGATTCAAGGTTGCAAAGGAAGATAAAAGATCTTATAAGAGTTTTTACCCCTGTACACACATTAATGATATATTTTTCTTTCTTTAAACGTATTCAAAAGTGTATCGAAGTTAGTCATTATTTCGAATATTTAATCAAATAAATTGAACTAAATTATATTAAGTTAAATAAAAGTTACCCTTTTTGCTACAAGAATATAAGCTCGTACACACACATACAACACGCGCGCGCGCACGATATTACACTTCCATATGAACACGCTATAAGTATTTGAAATTTGTTCAAATTTATCATAGCTTTATTAAATTGATCCAGAACTACCCGAAACTAAACGAAAAAACATTTATAATCAGTGTTTTGAATATGTCTCGACGTCAGCTATAAGAATATACAATTAAAAATATAGGTTTCTATTTAAAAAATCAATTCAAATATACCTTGAAATAACTTTAACGCGTTTACTCGAGGGTCAAAAACCAATGGTACGATTACTCGGTTTTTTTTTAAGTCTTACAACTTTTGTCTGAAACAATTTTTTGATTGCTTTTGTTTTGCTTTAATTTTTAGATATTAAGAGGATCCTAAAGTGGTCTGTTTTACCTATTTTTTTTAAATACACTTAACTTTCTTTTGGCTGTGTAGAATAAAAAGTCCTTTTCTGTAAGTAAAGTACATATGCTAATACACATGAAAAATAGAAGGTAAAACAGAGACGTATCTGTTTTACCTTCTATTTTTCGTAAAATTTGTTTTTTTTGGCTGCGTGGCTTGAAA